ACCAAAAAAACCCAAAAAAAAACCCACAAAAAAACCCACCCCCACAACAACAACAAACAAACAACAACCAAGAACTACTGTTGAATAGAACTAATATTTGAAACCAATATACCAAACAGACCCAGTACACAGCTCGTATGTAATTATAACCACGGCGTTGGAGTTTTTAAAAAAAGTGTATGCGGTGAGGTATGCAGTAACAAGCCAGACGTTTGCATAGCGTAAACCCTAAAAACATTTTGTACACAGTTGCAGCGCTGTTGCTCTCGCCATGTAAAATCCCCGCCAAAACGCTACCGTGCTCAAAATAAAATGTTCCTCCCCCCCCCCCTCCTACGCCCGTCTACATTGACTACAAGAGCTTAACCTCTTTATGCCATACCCGAGAACTGAGCAATGGAGCGGGTATAGGAGTAAAAGCACTTTCCTGCATTTCGTAAATCTAAGTTCTTAATCATAAACATTAAGTGAAGGGTACTTTGTTGTTTGAATTAATATGTTTAAGGGGAGGGAAGGGGAGGAAATGGAAGGGGAGGGAAGGGAAGGGAAGGGAAGGGGAGGGAAGGGAGGGGGAGGGGGGCAGGGAAAGGAAAGGAAGGAAAGTGGAGGGAAAAGAAGTGGAGGGGAGGGAATGGGGAGGGAATGGGGAATGGAAGGGAGTGGAGGGGAGGGAAGGGAAGAGAAGGGAAGGTTGAATGTAACTATGCTATTCAGTGACTTTGGTTATTCAATGTTTTAGCTTGGGCCCTGGTCTCGTGGCCTCCTCACATCATGATTTTAATGATTTCTAACTACTTAACTGAGTGGAAATTTGTTGAAATCGCGCTCTCGTCAAAATAATGAAAAGGGAGAAATCGACATTTTTCGATTCGTTTGGTGATTTGTATTGTTTTTCTTTTGGCTCTTCACCTTTTAATATGTCCATTTAAAATAAAACAGTTCTGTCTGGATTTTCGGTCAGAGGTTCATCAAAGGCACCAACAATGTAAATTTGCAGTTTTCAAGGAATCCCAAACTAGGGCACTAATCTTGCTAATCTTTTTTCTGATATCAGGTGACCCCCGCCTTCTTCAATCATATAAATCTCTACTTCTATTTAAGATAGATGGGTATTTTTTCCCTCAAAAATGCAAATGCCCAAACTTTAAGATGATTGATATTAATAACTTCATTTGCCTCCAAACTGACGTTTGCCTGATTCCAGCGCGTCGTAACATACTTCGTCTGCACCAGCTTCTATTTACGTGTAAGTTCACGTCTCCTTCTCTGAACTTCATTATAAAATCACGTTAGTTTTATAGAAACAACCCTGTCCAAACGGGGATCGAATATAGCAGGTCACGAAATACACCTTTAACGCGGTTGGCGTTTTTTTAGGCGCAGCGTTAGCTCAGTTGGTACCGTGTTTGACTACGGAGCTGATGGCCCGTCGTTCGAATCTCCAATGGAGCGTTCTTGAACTTGAGGATTGTTTAGGGAGTTTTCAACGCTCTCCACTCACTCGGCTAAGGGGTCCTATCGGAGATGGCCTATACGTTTGGAAGTCCTGACTCTTATACAACTCTACAGTCTTAAAAGGGATATTAAACCTTTACAGCTACTTAATCCCTTTATCCACCCTCAACTGAGCCTTCCAATTTATTTATAATACACATCTCTAGTTTCTACCACTCTAACAGTGTCATGTACATATTCTACACCGCCGCGTCTGTGGTGTGGCTGTTAGGTGCTTTGATGACGCAATCTGGAGACCTAAGCTCAATTCCTGAGTGGGGAGAACATTTTTATCATTTCGTTCTTTCTGCTGGGATGTTATATCCTTCTCATCTCGGGTTGGCCCTGACAGACAGGGTCGAGGGTCGGTAGCCTGCCTCCTAAATTATCTAAATTACGTCGATCGCGAAAATAAAAAAAAAGCAAAGCAAACAAACAAACAAATAAAAAACAACCCCCCAACCCATTTAACCACCCTGACGTTATCTATTAAATTACCCAGGTTAGCACAGGCACTTGAGTACCGCCTACTGTTGAATGATGATAAATCTTGTGCAGATCTCTCTCTCTCTCTCTCTCTCTCTCTCTCTCTCTCTCTCTCTCTCTCTCTCTCTCTCTTCTCTC